GTTCACAAGTGAATTGACAATGGTTCTAAGTACAGTAAGCAACTCTTTGAGGCTAGAGACTTGTAACTTTTAGGGAATCTGAAACATTCCCGTCTTTATTCAGATGGTATCAAGTTTATGAGACCTGCACTCCTCATATCTGATATCAGCACTTTAACTTTTCTGTATTCACTCATTTTCATAGAATAACAAATATAAACCATAATAAATCGTTATCAAGCTTTTACAGTAATGGAACCATTTTTTCGAATGAAATTTTACCTCGAATCCCAATCTGTGAAAAAAGATAAAGCTCATTGGGTGAAATTCTGCTCTATACGTTTTCATTAAAGAAAATTTGCCCTGAAATAGTGAAGAATAGTAACAGCAGGTGGCAGTGCAGCCAAGACGATTGGGCCTTCGCCTTTGCTGTCCGGAATGGTGCAGAGTCAGCTCTGTCAGCTCGAGTCAGAGCACAGACTGGGTGGTTAAAAGCCGTGCACAGTACGCAGATGTGCGCAGCTACCCTCTGCCCTTCGGGAGAAAGGACTGGAAGGGAAGAGCACGTAGAGAAAGTTAACTGTTTATGGTACTGCAGGCTATAGAGGAAGTGTTTTTCTTTCTCTAACCTAATTCTTTGTCACAGCTTATACAATGCGTAAAAATGGGAGAGAAAAAAAGCCAGAGGTCAGCTTTTGTGGTGACCACTCCGCAGTTGAAAGAGACTGACCTCACTAAGCACACCGCCAAGGGAAAAGGCCGGCGCAGGGGCGTCTTCTCCTTTAACCCACTAATTTCTTTTCTCTTATTATAGAAGTAATAATCTATTTTTACCAATAGAAAAAGATTAAATATTTTTAAGAGCACTGGCTTATGTTCTTAATGATTTACCAAAATCAGAAAATATGATAGAGTACTTCACTTTGGATTACTGATAATTACTATCCACGGTTCTGTGATACTAAGAGCTATGAGAAAAGCTAATGAAAATTTGTGTGACGGGGGGAGAGGAGAATGAGACAGAAATCTGGTAAAATAAGCCAGTACATGTTTGTTTCCCAAGACAGTATTTCCTCTAAAGTGTGTTATTAAGACTGATAAGTCTTTATAGATAAAGTGTCATCCTGGATCGAATCAGCAATGCTTTCGAGGTGAAAAGAGTTAATGATTCTGTCATTATAAACACAAAATGTTAAATGTACAGTATTTACTCTTATTTTAAAAGGTCCTTATCCCTGCGTACCTGTTAGAACAGCTTCAATGAGAAACAGGCCAGGTACGGTAGCTCACACCTATAATCCCAGCACTCTGGGAGGCTCAGGTGGGAGGACCGCTTGAGGCCAGGTGTTTGAGACCAGCCTGGGCAACATAGCAAGACCTCGTCTCTACAAAAAAAATTCAAAAAACGTATTAGCTGGGCACGGTGGTGTTCTCTTGTAGACCTAACTAGTCAGGAGGCTGAGGCAGGAATACCACTTGAGCCCAGGAGTTCAAAGTTACAGTGAGCTATGATTGTGTCACTGCCTTCCAGCCTGGGCTACAGAGCAAGACCTTATCTCTAAACATAAAGTAATTAATTAAATTAAATGAAAAATAGTGGCAATACTATGCTGGCAAGGACGTGGAGAAACAGGATCCCTCATGTGTTGCTGGTGGGAATGTAAAATGGGACAGCCCCTCTGGACATTAGCTGGGCTGCTCTTCAATAAGTAAACATACACTGACCAAACGGTCCAGCCGGTCACACTCCTGGCCATTTATCCAGAAAAACGAAAACCTTTGTCCATATAAAAACTTCTACCAGAGGCTGCGACGACTACTGAGGACCCGGTTACCATCACCTTCTCGCGATGGAGACCTCAGCGCTCAAGCAGCAACCTGCAGCCGCCAAGATCGGGAACCTGCCCTGGGTTGAAAAATACCGGCCGCAGACACTAAACGATCTCATTTCTCATCAGGACATTCTGAGTGCCATTCAGAAATTTATCAGTGAAGACCGACTGCCACACCTGCTTCTCTCTGGTCCTCCAGGGACAAGAAAGACATCCACCATCCTAGCCTGTGCTAAACAGCTATACAAAGATAAGGAATTTGGCTCCATGGTCTTAGAGCTGAATGCTTCAGATGACCAAGGAATAGATACCGTCCAGGGACCAATCCTGAGCTTTGCTAGCACGAGGACAATATTTAAGAAAGGCTTTAAACTGGTGATCTTGGATGAAGCTGATGCCATGACTCAAGATGCCCGGAATGCCTTGAGAAGAGTGATTGAGAAATTTACTGAAAATACCAGATTTTGCCTCATCTGTAACTATCTGTCAAAGATCATCCCTGCCTTGCAGTCTTGGTGTACGAGGTTCCGATTTGGTCCCCTGACTCCAGAACTCATGGTTCCCCGCCTGGAACATGTCGTAGAAGAAGAGAAAGTCGAGATAAGTGAAGATGGGATGAAAGCGCTTGTAACTCTTCCCAGCGGAGATATGCGCAGGGCTCTGAACATTTTGCAGAGCACCAATATGGCCTTTGGGAAGGTGACAGAGGAGACTGTCTACACCTGCACAGGGCACCCGCTCATGTCAGACATCGCCAACATTCTGGACTGGATGTTGAATCAAGACTTCACCATGGCCTACAGAAATAATTATGGAGTTGAAAACTCTGAAGGGGTTGGCACTGCACGATATCCTGACAGAGATACACTTGTTTGTGCACAGAGTTGACTTTCCATCCTCAGTTCGAATACATTTATTGACCAAAATGGCAGACATTGAGTACAGACTTTCTGTTGGCACCAATGAGAAGATCCAGCTGAGTTCCCTCATTGCTGCTTTTCAAGTCACCAGAGACCTGATTGTCACAGAGGGCTAGATGCTCCAAGGCCCACTGGCCACAATTCCCTGACCTGGTAGTGCAGAGGACAGTTACGGGTTGGACTGTTGCCCAGAGAATGGGACAGAACCATGGTCACCCCAAGTCTTAGAAATCTCTGTTCCAGTTCTTGGTGTGGGTGGGCAGATGTTAAAAAGTACCATTTTGTGGTCATTTGGAGCAGGGGTACATAAACAATTTTAATGTATAATTATTATATCTTAGTGTACTGCCCTTTTTTTTTTTTGGAGATGGGGTCTTGCTCTGTTACCCCAGCTAGAGTGCAGCGGCATCATCATAGGTCACTGCAGCCTCAAACTCCTGGGCTCAAACAGATCCTCCTGCCTCAGACTCCCAAGTGGCTGGGACTACAGGTGTGGACTACCATGCCTGGCTAATATTTTTACTTTTTGTGGAAACAAGGTTTTGCTGTGTTGCTCAGGCTAGTCTCAAACTCCTGGCCTCAAGCGATCCTCCATCCCTCAGCCTCCCAAAGTGCTATTATTACAAGTGTGAGCCACCACGCTCAATCCGTCTGTCTTTCATGGGGAAAAAAATCATCTTTTTTTCAGCCATAAGGCTTTTACCCTTCAGTTGCTTAGATGACAGAGAATTGGCCTATTGCATTTGGTCTGGAGCGTAAGGCTTTCAGATCTAATATGGTCCAAGTGTCTTCCAACTCAAGGGAAACAACATCTCCAAAATTAAGTTTATGAATCTAATCTTTGGCACTGTCTCTGTGTCTACTTTAAACAGGCATTAATGGATTTCTGGGCAAAATTATTATGCTCTTATAAAATGGACTCAATTCTCCTACTTTACAAACTGGTCTTTTTATTTTCCCTCTTGAAGTAGAACAGTTACCAGCAGGTTCCAAGTAGGAAAAAACTTTAATTTTGAATATAATAGAGAGCTAGCTTTAAGTTATGCCATCGGAGGCCAATGGTTATGTAACACGTACTTGGTTAATGCAGGGAAGGCCTGTGAGATTAAGCCTGACTCTAAATCTCGAACTGCTGAAAGGCCTGGGACTTCCGTACACATGTAACATTTATTTTACAGCAATTACGCTGCATTTGTGTTAGCGTTCTGTACAATGAAAATAAAGCAGCTTGCTTGCTGGGAAAAAAAAAAAAAAAAAACTTCTACCAGAACATTCATAGCAGCTTTGTTTGTAATAGGCAAAATCTGGAAACAATCCAGATATTCTTCAGTGGGCGAATGGTTAAACCACAGCACGTCCACGCTGTGCAGTACTACTCAGAAATTTAAAAAGAATGAAGTGTCGATATATGCCACAACTTTGATGGATCTCAAGGGAATTAGCCTGAGGTTTTTTTAAAAAAAGATAATCTCAAAGGGTTCTGAATAATGTTATTTATAGAACATTCTTGACATGACAAAATTAAGAGACGCAGAACAGAGTAGTGGTTGCCGGGGGTTAGGATGGGATGAGGTAGGGAAGGAATGGAAGATTGATGAGATCAGAAAGGAGTATCACAAGGAACCCCTGCGGTGCAGTAGGGACCTGCATCCTGAGCGTGGTGGCCGTCACGCCATTCTGCAGCTGAAGTATTGAAGAGAACGACAGCCACAGACAAGCACATGTAGAACTGGTGACATCTGAATAAGGTCTGCGGATTACGCCAACGTCAGTTTCCTGGTTTTGATGCCGTACTATATTTATGTAAGATGCTACCGCTGGAGCAAACTAAGTGAAGGTTACCGAAATTTCCCTTTACTATTTGTGCGGCTTCCTGTGAATATCAATAATTACTTCAAAATAAAAAGTTTAAAAACAAAAACGGCTTATTTGTTTCAAATTCAGGTCTTTTCTAGGTCTCACCCCAAACCCCCACAGCTACACAGCAGTAAGTGTGTTATATTAATAATACAGCTTCAAAGGCTCCCCCCGTCCCAGGGTGTCCCCTGTGGTGTCCCCTGGACTATAGAAGCAGTGCAGTCAGTAAGAAAAGGCGAGCAGATCGTCACTCTAAGAGGCGCTTGCACAAGAAAAAACGTCCACCCATTGATTGCTGGGGTCAAGGTTATATGTTCAGGATTCTTTCCAGTTAATTATCTTGGATTATGCATGTATTGCTAAGAAACGCTTTTTAACATAGCACAGTTACATACTGCATGTTTCTCCGCAGGGCGAATTTGTAAATGAATATGTCGGTGAATTAATCGATGAAGAAGAATGCAGATTGCGAATCAAGCGAGCCAACGAGAACAGTGTAACTAATTTTTATATGTTAACTGTTACCAAGGTAAAATTGCTTTTTTTTTTTGGTAAGAAAAAGGAATTTTCTGTTTTTGTTTCATAATCCTAGGTTGAACCCAGTCTCTTTTAATTTGATTTTTTTTTTTCAGGCAAGTTATAATGATTTGCAGTAGCCAGCGGGCTACGTACTATAATGTGCTAATTATGCCAGAGTACAAAGTGATTACGGAAGCCTCACACGTGTCGTGTGAGACAGCACTGTGAGTGCCAGCAAACCAGGAGCAGGCTTAGCACGGCTGGACTTTAGTTCCAGAAAGGCCTGGGCCTCAGTGTCTGCTGCTCAGAGGGAGTCAGCTCTGCGATTCTAAGTTATAAACCACTAGTAAAGTTCTGATTTAGCAAAAACTCTAAATTATTCTGCATACTTAAACTTTTTTTTATAATTATAAGTTAGGAAAATAATGCGTGCTGTCATGACAAAAATGACAATAAAACTGCTGGTTTAATCCATGCAATTGTAAGACCTCTTCGATGCCCATTATATCCGTTGTCTCATTTAATTTTCTCAGCAGTTCTCTGATTTACAGAGGACAAGAAACTGGTGTCTGGCCATGATAAGTGATTTGTTGAACATCTTGTTGCAGTTTTAAGTGCCAATCCAAGGATCTAAGATTGGAAAAAAACAAAACAAAAAAAAGTTTTAAGAGCCAAGACTAGTACCCAAGTTTCCTATGTTCTAAGCTATCTCTAAAACTAAGATTCAGAATATCATTAAAGTCAGAAATAGAGATCATTGAAAAGAAGTATTTTAACTGATGTGTCATTGTTTGAAAGTTTTACAACTTTCAGAAACATAAATTAAAATGCCATTTTTATGATCGTGGGAATCTGGCTCCTGCACTCCCGTCTTCGCTGCCAGAGGCCCCTCCAGCCTCCCTGACGTCACTCGAGAGGCTCAGCACGCTGGAGCTCGTCCAGATGATCAGAGTTCAGATTCAGCAGCCTAAATCGTCAGCTTTGTGTACTGCATTTTGAACTTTAATATAAGTAAAAACAGAGCAAACAGATAACTACTAGAGAATATGTCCCACACAATAACCCTTCCATCAAACGTATCTCCAAATCTTGATTTCAGAGGAGAAGTTTCTCATCTTTCTGTCTTCCCTCTTTATGGCCTAAGGTCTCACCTGTCTACCCCATACGAGTTTTGCTTCCTACTTAGAGCAGGAAAGGAGGGATGACGGCAAAACACTAGGGTAGTTACCTGAACTTTGAGCTCTCTAATCAGGACATACCGTTCCTAAACCTGTGGCCTACTCATGTTCCAGGTAGCGTCATTCTATGGTCCTTCTAGAAGCAAACTTAAAAAGAGACTAAATTCCACTTCATCCTAATTACTGTGACTTGGAGTTCATCAAATACGGTAGAGAATCATTACGCTGCCCAGGGAGCATCGCATTTTCAGAGCTGTCAGTTGTCAAACACCAGCTGGCAGCAAAGTGCTGCTGCCTTGTGGTCCTTGACTGAGTTGGGTGTTTCTAAGAGGCTTATACTTAGTTTTATGTAAACGGTACCTTTCTTTTTCTTTCTGAAGGACCGTATAATTGATGCCGGCCCAAAAGGAAACTATTCTCGCTTTATGAACCACAGTTGTAATCCAAACTGTGAAACACAGAAGTGGACAGTGAATGGAGATGTTCGAGTTGGACTTTTCGCTCTTTGTGACATTCCTGCAGGTAAAGAAGTAACTTGCTCCTCATGGTCCCCTCCCTAGGAAGAAAATGTGTCCTGTGGAGGCAGGACATTACTCTTCAGGCTTGATGCCCAAGTACTTACTCCAGTATGAGAAAGTGCTATGTTTAGAATTGAGTGTTACCTGCCAAAAAGAGGTAGAAATCTATATCCTCAAAAAGGAACTTGGCAACAACCTTTATGTAAGACAGGGTATTACAGAATTCTGTGTATGTAGTCCTGCTGAATTAATTCTCCAAATTATTGCTGTTTGCACAATGTAGCCAGATGTTGTTGTCTTTTTAAAACGTTTTAAAAGTAATTAGCTTGTATTAACATCAACTGATTTCTTGGTTTTTGGGTTTTTCTACTTTGTAAGATCATTCTGTTTCAAATTAGACATAAAAGCCTCTGAAGCCAGAGCTATTGTTTTCATTTTTCTTACTCATCCAGCATCTTAATAGCAAAAGTCTCTTCTTTGTTAAGTTTGTAGTAAAATGGTGAGAAGAAAAATGCCGTCCCTAAAACAGATTTAAATTATGTTTGTAGAACTCATTGTGGGTTATTCAAGCCCAGCTAAAGGAAAGTGTAGGAGGCCTTAGTTTGAATCCCTGGATCTTTGGTATATGTAGCAAGCCTTCATGTTGAACTTTTATTTGCTCATAATATAAGGCATTAATTACTGAAGTAGTATCGTCACAATTCCAGTCATATCGTTCGTCGAGAAGCTGGTGTGAGTTAGCTTTAGAAAAGAGCGCTAACCTACAGCCTGTTTTTCTTGAGCGTAGGTTGCAGACTTAGTCCGTACCACAGTGTTTTTGACCACTTCTATGAAAGGATATGAATTCTGTTCAGGGCACATAGTGTTACTGTAATTATTGGTGGATGGGAATGTTTCCTTCAGCTTTTCTCCCCTTTTTTCTTTTTCACCATCACTGTTTTTAATGAGGTGGAACACGGGAAAGGGAAACATCTTCGTGTTAGAATTATGTCTCTTTTTTTCATTACAAGAGTGTGTCTGTGGCAGCGTTTCTCTTCCCCGTGACTTGAGCGTGAATATTCATTTCTCTCATGTTTCAGGGATGGAGTTAACATTTAATTATAACCTGGACTGTCTGGGCAACGGCAGAACAGAGTGCCACTGCGGGGCAGATAACTGCAGTGGTTTTCTAGGAGTGCGGCCAAAGGTCAGTTATACAGGGGGTGCCCCAAGCCACAGGAGATAAGGAGTGGGGCTGTCGAAGAAGTTTGTCTGTGACCATCTCAGGAAAATGCTGGCAAATGGGCCCCTGGCTTAGCATGGGGTCACCAGCTGCATTCACCAGGAGTTTAGACTCTGACCATCCTGGGAAGCCTATTTCAGTGACAGCTGTTAGGTTCTAAAAATGTATTTGTATTTCAGATTGAATTTGCCATTAGCAAAATCCAAATTAAAGCCCTTTTCAAAATCCACAATATACTAAAAACCATTAAATTATACACTTTAAAATGGTGAATTTTGTTGTATATAAATTGTATTTCAATGAAAAAATTCAGCAGGCTGTCTGCACATTAAAATGGGTTAAAGTTGCTTGGATTTACTACCAGCCTTGCAATTAAAAAAGAAAAGTGCCTTATTCAAATGCTAATGAAAACAAAGACTTTTGTTATGGTGTCATTACTGGATAAGTCCTTCTGGTGTTTTTAAGTACGAATTCAAATGAAGGTGAGGTTGTAGGGTTTTCCTCCCGTGTCGGGCTTTGTGCACTGTCTGTAATCGCTGAAACTGGGATCCTTTCTTCCTGCCAGTCGGCATGTGCGTCAACAACTGAAGAGAAGGCAAAAAATGCTAAGTTAAAGCAGAAGAGACGAAAAATCAAAACAGAACCAAAGCATATGCATGAAGATTACTGTTTTCGATGTGGAGATGGTGGAGAGCTGGTCATGTGTGACAAAAAAGACTGTCCCAAAGCATACCACCTCTTATGCCTTAACCTGACGCAGCCACCGTATGGTAAGCTAGACCTGTGGAGCCCTTTCTCTGATTTGTGTCTTTGCCAACTATGTGTGACTCAGAATATATCCACCCTCCTCGGAGGAGCCGTGGAACAGGAAACGTTGAAGAGAACACATAACCTAGCAAGCAAATATTATGTTAGTGAAAAAGCTGTCTCCCTACACATTTGGAATACCCTGTGGGCCAGCAAGGATCAATTTCTTATTTATTATCACATGACCATAGGTGGGTAGTTGGCACCCACGGCACTGGGTTTTGCCAGTAGCTCGTATCTGTACTAAATAATATAGCCACACCTATATTTGGCTGAAATTTGGAGTTGTGTTCAGTTTAATTCGGTCTCCAGTCGGAGACGAAGGTGGGAACTTGGGTTTTTCATGGGTAATTAAGACAGGCACTGACTTGGGCCCTTCTCCTCCTTCCTGCCACCCTGCATTAGGAAAGTGGGAGTGCCCGTGGCATCAGTGCGACGAGTGCGGCAGTGCGGCTGTCTCCTTCTGTGAGTTCTGTCCACATTCCTTCTGCAAAGATCACGAAAAGGGAGCTCTGGCTCCTTCTGCCCTGGAAGGCCGTCTCTGCTGCTCTGAACATGACCCTGTATCTCCTGTGTCACCAGAATACTGGAGCAAGATAAAATGTAAATGGGAAGCACAGGATCATGGAGAAGAAGTAAAAGAATAAATGGGTGGTATCCCCCCCTTTCTATTTAAATGAAAAAAATGAAAAAAGCAAATAGGGAACGCATTTAAAAAGAAGAGCCTTCTACAGCGCATACAGCCTTTGCCATCGGAACTGCCTTACTGAAGCGAAATGGGAAACCAGCTCATGCGGGCAGAAGCAGTTGGTGGTGTCTGGTTTTTCTGTTTTGTTGGCTTAGGGATTCTTTTGTGGAGGGTTAAATTCCCTTGATCTTTTCTTGCCTTTTATTGTGCTTCAATGCCTTTGCATCTGGGAAAAGAGATGTCTTCGCTTTTAAAATAAGAACAAAGAAAAAAGAAAGTTTTGTTAATGAGATAAATTGAAAGTCTAAGATGTGTTCCTTGGTTGTATAAAGCAAAAGAAACCATCATTCCTTTATTTATTTTCATTTTAGGAATTTCGAGAAGTATAGTTCAAATAGTCTAATCAGTGTATGTGTGTGTGTTTTAAGTAGGAATCAGAGAAAGCCCTCTTAGAAAAGGGTATGATAATCTTTATATACCTCTTTACTGAGCAGTAGGTAGGCTAACTTCTCTTCCCCTTCAAAATGCTTTTCATTGTCTTAGAGAAGGGCTCTATGGAAGTATTAAATCTGGCCTCTTGAAAACAAATGCCTCGATGGATTTTACCTCTGTGGTCTTAAACTAGGTGGGCTTTGTGATACGGTAACTTTACCTCGAAAGGTATATAATGTGTTTTTCTGTTTTGGAGGGAAAAAAAAGAATGGATGTGCTCACTGATTTTCGACATGTTTTCCATTGACAGTGGGATTTTTCGATGAAGTGTGTCTCTGTGGATGTGAATGCCTGGTTAGAATGGTCACTGCTGTTATCCTGACACACTGATAAAGGCAGCTAAAGGGAGATGAAAGGCACAAACCGAAAGTTGGATCATAGAAGCACCATTTTCTGTCCAGTTTAATGTAGACTTTGGTCTGACTTGGAGAGAATTATGGGCATTTTATTTTCTGTCTCTGTTTCCCTCTCCTAATCAAACATTTCCTTTGTCAGCTGACCATTCAATCATGTTTCTTGGTGAAAGTACACAAATGAATTTGAATTGTATTTGAAAAATCTTTTGGGTTGAGTTCCTAATTTTGGGGGTGAAAGTAGGGCCATCCTCAAGTTATAGGCAAACAATTTCTATTTAGTATTAATATTATCTAGTACTTAAAATTGCTCCCACTGGGTAAGGGGAAGAATTTCTACTTTTACAGGGTACATAAGAGCCACACAAACACACTTCATCTTAGGAAGCACTTGGAGAAAACGCCCAAGAAAGTCAGCGTTAGCAAAAGTGGTTGACCGTGATGCTTGAAACTTACAGACGCGAGTATACCAAGATGTCTGCTCACAAAACTCACTTGCTTTTAATGCTTAGGAATATGTGTATTCCAGTATTCCTTCTATGAAATAATTAGTAATGTCAGACATTGTTGTAACACTGTACTACGTAGAAGTCTAGGGTTAGCTCGAATGAACGTTAACTTTCTCTGTGAATTTTGACTGCTTACACTTGCTGGTACCTGGTAGCATTTATTTTCCCTCAAGAAGTACCCAGTAACCTTATGAAGGTAGGGGGAGGATAGATGCTTTACTGCATTCCTTCAGTTGTATTATGTGTGTTCCGTTTTCTTATCAATTTAGAGCTCTTCTCTGGAAAGAAGAGAAAAAAAGCTGTTTTGTGCCTCTCCTTTTTTTGTATGTAAATGTGCAATTATACTGGATTTTCTCTTGTAAAAAACAAAACAAAACAAAAAAACCAACACTACGATTATTTTACTTAAGCTCCTAAACTGCCATTTGCCTGATTCCAGCAATTAATTCTGAGGTGACTTATTGGGCTTCCACCAATAATTCTGTTGATTAGATGTTGTCCCAAAAGAAAGAGCAAAATGGAAAATGCTATACATGTTACCAAATGTAATTGCTGTAAGTAACATGAAATACAGCTCACCAAAACACTAAACTTTGCTCTTGAGCAATTATATAGTTTGATTGTCCTTTTAAAGAATAATTTAAGAAAATCTAGGTTTTATCATACTAAAATTTTATTTTATATATAAGATAAACATTTGGTTTTTTAAACTTACTAAGGATTTCCTTTAGTATTCCAAATGCAACTCTTGTTGAAACAATATTCAACATGAAATCTTATCTCCTTGCTTTGTTTTAGATTTAGTGCTATTTAATATCTGATGACTTTTATATGGTAAGCCAGGGTACATCCTATATACTGCACATACCTTAGGTTTAAGTATTTTTATGCAGCTTCTTCATTGTGTCACATTTTGTTTTTATACCTGTAACAGAGCTCTGCTGGGGTTTTTTAATCTTTTTTCTTTTTTATGACTAGTAATATTGTTTCGCCATTTCAGAGATCAGAGTAGAAAACAAAATAGCTAACCGTAGCTCTGAAGTCTTTGTCCATGAGTGTTCTTTAATGGTCTGGAAAATGGTTTTGGTCATGCCAGTGCCAAGGAGCTCTCCTCACACCTCCTTTGTGCCAATGATCACCTATTTTATATATTTTAAGGATGCAGGTTGTGGAAGTAGAAAAATGTGCTTCACGTGTGCATAAGTGTACATGCATTGTGCTTGCCTACGCTACACCAATGAAATATTCTAAAAGACATATTGCTCACTCATAGCCTGAAGTTGGTATTTAACTTTTAAGTCTATATGTGGTCAGAGTGTAAGTAGTTGGTTTTGTTGTTGTCCAAAAATGAAATAACTTAGAGCAGCATGAGATTGTGGTGGTATTTTTTAACCTCATGTTAATTGTCTGAAGGAAGAAGTGAATGTAAGATTTTTGATAATCAGCATAAAGCTTCAGAAACTGGATCAGCGCGCGCTAGGAAACTCAGGCACTGCAGCGAGCGGGCGGGACCGCTAGTGCTCCGAGCAGTCCCAGGCGCTGTCCGGGCTGGCTGAGGGGGGAGGGTGGACGGCCCTTCCTTCCAGGAATGCCGAAGCAGCTGGAGGCAGGGAATCGGGTCTTTAATGTCTAATCAGGGCTAGAGATAGGAGTGAGGTGGGTTTTATTTTCACTGTTGTTTTACCAAGTTCCCACACTATCTTAATTCTGAAAAATGATCTGGCCTAAGCTGTAGAATGGGCTGAGTTCTGGAATCGTTGAAACTCAGAGATTTCTGCATGTTCAAGTCTAGAACATACCTGAAAACTAACAGAATAAATAAATAAATAATTGAGGGACTGGGGCAGCTCCCGCCTGCCCTTTCTGCATGGTATTTGGAAACACGCCTGCAAATAATGTGCGGGACTGAGATACTGAGTATCTAATCATGGAAAGAACTCTCAATGGGACAGCTGTTGGCCAGCTTTCCTGGTTCACAGCGTGGAGTTTCCTTTTTGAGTAGTTTCTTGCATGGTGTGTTCTAATCAGGGTCAAACCCAACAAACAGTTTGGAAACAGCCCATCTATACAGAATGTAATCTCTGGATGCCCAGGACTTGTTGCTTATCTTTCATTTCATTTCTAAATACAAAGCTCTTCCTTTAGCATTCACCTTAAAGTCAAGGCACTGCCCGCCCCCTGCCATGTCCTCTAACAGGATGAGAAAACAAGTTACCATGGAGTCCTCACAGCTTGGGAAGCTCACATTTGATGTACTTCTACGCGAGGTGCGATGACATTGGAAAGCTGTCTTGTTGCTGGGCAGTGCAGACTAGACTTGAATTACTTTTTACAAGGCTGATGTGTCCATCTAGCCACCCCCAGATTGTCCAAGTTGGTGTAGACATGAAGTGACCAAATGGAACAATTTCCTTCGGCCTAGGGCCACCTAGAATTGGTCTCTGCTTATTTGTAAACAAACAAAAAGTGGAACTTGCTTCCATTTTTAGATGGGAACAGATATAATCAGACAGCTTTGCAATGAATTCACAAATATTGCAAAGTTGAAAACTTACACATTCTGAAATCTCACCAACTTTTACCTGGGGCGGGCTACCAGGAGAAAAGGGGGTTCTAGGGTAAGGGAGGGGAACGATAATGTTTACCACAGGTACGAAGTAGTCACTTTAACATTGAGACCTCTGCCTCATTGAATTCAGGTTTTTTAAGTACTTGAAACTCTTCAGATTCTCCTTATTTTACAGTTTCTTTTTAAATTCACAAAGTAGAAAGCATTGTTTTGTATACTGTTTCGAAAATAAACAGCCTAGTCTCTTATCCTCTTTAACTTGGAATACAGGCGAAGTTCTGCAAATGGGAAAGAGTGTTCCCAGTAGCGTTCTCAGATTTATTTTACACATTTGAGGAAGAGACTCCTGCATGAGATACCAGCAGCATTTTTATGAATATTTCCTATGTATGTTCTTTATTTTGTCAACCCTATCCCCAAGCATTTCTTTCCTTTTAATATATGTCTGTGTAGGGAAAAAACAAAAAATTGCACTTAACGTTACACTCCTGAAATGCTGTGCGTAGCCTGTCTTTCCAAAACTATTTCCGTTTTTGTTTTTTGTCGGTCCATTGCATAAGCGACAAGTTTGGGTGCTTGTGGCACATAGGTAAGAAGGGGGAGGAGGAAAGAGAATTGTCCTTCGGGAGGCTGTAAAAATCATTAACGTGTAAGTAAAAAGGGAAAATAGAATAGTTGCCAAAGTCATTTATTCAGTCCTTGGTTTTCTTACGTGACATTACTGCATCTGCTAATTAGTGAGAAAGCACCCTCGGCTTGTACTGCTCCCCTTCCCTGCCCGCCAGCAGACCAGATACGTGCCAATGGCTCGCAAGTGTCTGTCAGATTACCCGCAAAGTATTTGTAAGGTATTCTTGTCAGTATAGAAGTGGACTGGATAAAACATTCACTTTGTTGTCATTAACGTTATTTTATCTCATTTGTCCTGTTACGTACCCTATGTTAAGAAACTCATATTGCCACTAATAACCAAGATGCTAAATGATTATTACAACTGGCTAATAAGAATCATCTTTTTATATACAAGGGTGTGTGCATATTTGGAATTGATATGAAATTTATTTGTACCCATTTGAGTGATATTGCACAACAGATACCTACAGATTCCCTTTTCATTTCCTCGTGTTCTTTATGATAATGATCTTTGTAGATTGGTTATTTCTGTACTTTGTTTATCTGTAATAAACTTTGTAGATCCTGTGAAATGTTATTTTGCCTAAATCACTTGAGACTTGAGTCTTTAATAACAAAGCATCAATATTCACTAAAGTCAATCTCTTTTGAGTTTCTGTGACTTGGCTAGCTCTTGACACTAAGGGATTAGTGTTCATTTTCCCTGGGGGGTTCCACTAGGGCATTACTGTATAATGAATGACTTGATGTTGCCACATAGACTTCAAGATAAATAATATTTTGAGGATTTTGTTGGTTGGCTTATGTTTTATTGCATAGTGTGAAACGTGTAAAGCTTGGTTAACCTGTATATAGATAGGTTATTGTTGCCTAGTCATAGTGTATCTAGGATTGCCTGTAATATTTAAGCTTCTTACTGATGTGTGTGCTGGTAGGAACATAATTTTTGTATATTCACTGAGATGTGTTACCTTTTTTATTTTACAAATACTTTGGAATTCAAATGTGTTTTCTGCTTCCGTGAGGATTAATTTGGAAAGGTTTTTAATGACATTCCACTGATTTCAGATTTTGCTTGAGATTGACTTCAATAAATTGTCCTGTATGTCCCAAATTAAACGTGCGCTTTTTCTTTGTGATTTTCTGCTGCCGCTCCCTGGGCGGTTAGAGTAGGTCACAGAATGTAGCCAATCTCGGCCTTCGGGACGCCGCCGCGCTGCTAGGAAACGCGGGTCTGGAAAAGCGGGTGTTCGTTTTCTAGCGCTCACGCTTCGAGGAAAGGGCCTTGGCGAGCGTTGCCGCTGGCTCTGGTGTGGCGTCCCCGGCTGGCTGGTGAGGGCCGCGCTTGCGTCGCCTCCCTCCCGGCGGTCGCCTGGCGGGACGCGGGGACGGCGCCCCGCTGCGCCGCTCTGCCCGTGTTTCCCGCGCGCCGCCCTCGGAGCCACGCCCAGCGCCGCCGCTCCCGGAAGCCGCCGGCCGCCGAGCCGGTCCCGCGGCGGCGCCAGCGCCAGCGCCCGGCCGGCCACGTCGCGGCGGCGATGGGGAGGGCGGCGGCCCTGGCGGCCGAGGTGGGCCTGCGCGCCGCGCTCTTCGCCGCCTTCCTGTGAGCGCCCGCGGGCTCGGGCGGCGGCGGGCGGGAGGGCGCCGCGAGGGGACGGCGGCCGACGGCCCGCGCCTGTTGTTCCGCCCCAGGGTCACAGAGCGGCTGCCTCCCTTCCAGAGGCTCATCCAGCCGGAGGAGATGTGGCTGTACCGGAACCCGCACGTGGAGGCGGAGTATCTGCCCAGCAGGCCGATGTTTGTGCGTGAGAACCGCCGCCTGCTCGGAGCTGATCTCTGCAGGGGGCTTCCTGCTACCTTTGTGGACGTGCTAGGATGTTGCCTCCTGATGTTTCAGTGTTTGAGATCTGGATTTAGAGCAAGACGCCGGAGTACGGCTCGAGCCGCGTCGTGCGGGGTGGTGCACAGCACGCGCCGTTCACAGGGGGTGGTCGGGTCTGCCAGGCGAGTCCTGCAGGAGCCACGGTGACACTAGCATGGTTTTCTCCTTTCTTTCTTTGTAACCTCTGACGTTCTGGTTCAGGTCATCGCATTTGTCTCCCCACTGTCTCTGATCTTCCTGGCCAGATTTCTCAAGAAAGCAGACACAAGGGACAGCAAACAAGCCTGCCTGGGTAAGACCTGACCCCTTCTGGCTGGTGGTGTCTTTCTCGAGCTGGGAACTGAGGAAGTGGTCGTGGGGTTCGGGCACTGGAGCCTGCGTGGAGGCCACTGAGTTCTGCCTTCCTAAAGTAAGTGCACCCCTCTGTCCCTACTCGTTACCCTGTGAGAAGGAAACGGCACTGTGAGAACTTGGTTAAAGCTATGCGTAAATGCACTGGATTATTTGTGCCTCAGGAGTGTCTCTGGCCTAGCACTGAAGTTCTCCCTGCACCACAGAGAAATCGTTGCGAGCCACCATTACTTCTGTGGTCGGAACTGACTGGACTCTGCCTAGCTCAGAAACGGAACAGCTGCTGTCTTAACGAGGCAGTGACCACGCCTGTCCCCCTCGGCAGATTCTTCTAACAGTGGTTTCTTTGCTTTGCAGCTGCCAGCCTTGCCCTGGCTCTGAACGGCGTTTTTACCAACACAATAAAACTGATAGTAGGGAGGTAAGTGGCAGGAGCCGGCCCCATGCTTGCCTCAGCCCCTGCCCCATCAGGAGAGATGGGCAGTGGGACTGTCACACATCTTTCTCATCCTTTTCTCCTTCAACACTTACTCCCTTCCCTGTACCTCAGTCCTACAGGTGACACTTGGGCTCTTTTCCGCCCTGAACTGCACTTCCCACCACCAACCACAGCAGGGGCAGTGTCCTGTACAACTGCGGTCCTCAACCCCCGGGATGTTAGGAAACGGGCCTCGCATCACCCGCTGAGCCCTGCGCCCCCACACACCCACCCCAAACCCCACCCCTGGCCGCCGAAAAACTGTCTTCCATGAAACCAGTGAAACCAGTGCCTGGTGCCCAAAAGGTTGGGGACTGCTGCTCTAGAACACCTCCTGAAGCTGCAGTGTAATTTACTGTTTGCCCTAAAAAGTAATCATGTGCTGGATGGAGTGGGTTCTTTCCCCGATTTGAATGTTGATCCTGGAGGTAAGGCTTTTCTCTTAGTGTGGTGACTGTCCCAATCCAGTCACGTTTTTTGTCTGGGACACTACTCGACCAACAGTTACCAGGATTATTGGTGTCTGCTACAACTGGGAAATGATTTCTGGAGTTGTAAATGATCTGTGTTCAAACCATGCTTATTTCTTCCAGGCCACGCCCCGATTTCTTCTACCGCTGCTTCCCTGATGGGCTAGCTCGTTCCGACTGGACGTGCACGGGGGATAAGGACGTGGTGGATGAAGGCAGAAAGAGCTTCCCCAGTGGACATTCTTCCTGTATGAACAGCACGGACACTCCACTTCTGTGCTTACTGGTTTTGCATCACTGAATTTAACCTAGCAAGCTTGCAGGGATGGGAACATCTGACTATTCTTATTCTTGTTTCTTGAAATTGGAAAACCCCCTTCTTTAAAAACTCGACAATTTCGTAAGCCCGAGCCTTTACTATTGAGTCAATATGAGAGGGGGGAGAAGTAGTTTACCTTCATGAGGTTTGCATTATTTGCCTAGATCCTGCAATCATGTACTAGTAATAAAAATACTAACTTTATTGAAGAGTTACTATGTATCAGGTGCCCTAAAGCATTTTCTTGCCTCATTTATATCTTAGAATAGCTCACTGAGGTGCATGCTATTATTTTTATGGTTCCCATTTATAGATGAGGAAACTAAAGCATCGAGAAATCCCAGAACTAGAATTCCAAAAACTACTCTCAGATAAAATATTATCAATTTTGGGACACAAAATAAAGTCCATTTTTCCTTTGGTTTCCTTTTCCCTCACAATCAATGATTTATGCCAGAAGATACAAAAAAGGGATAAAATATGCTCATGCTCCCTGGCCGCCTATTTAGAGATGACTGGAAGTAGCTTTCCTTTAAAAGATACACACTACTTACACATTTTTCCTATTCCAGTTGCATTTGCTGGTCTGGCCTTTGCTTCCTTCTATGTGGCAGGGAAGTTACATTGCTTTACACCACAAGGCCGTGGGAAGTCATGGAGGTTCTGTGCCTTTCTGTCACCTCTACTTCTTGCAACTGTGATTGCACTGTCCCGCACCTGTGACTACAGGCATCACTGGCAAGGTAAGCAAAGCAATCACGCCATAGAAGCTTCCATATTTCACTCATTATTTTATCCCTAGCACCCAGCGCAGAGGAAACGCTTACTAAATATCTGTTGAATGAATGAACAAATGAATGAGTATGGATGGTCTAGGTTCTATCCTAAGAGTATATGCATTTACAGCTATGTGGAAGATAAAAATTAACCTTTTAAAGAGATTACCAAGAGGAATGTCCTAATTTTTCCGTCATTTGAGGCATCATAAAAATTCAAATTAAACTGAATCTGTAAGAAATTAAAACCTCAAAGCTCAATTTATTCTAAAAATAAAAATCAAGTTCGTTGTCATAAGACTTTTTTAGTTCAAACTCAGAAGTCAAATTCAAGAAAACATTAATATTATAATTAAACCAAAGAAATTTAAGAGTATCTTCAACAAAAAGCCAGGAATCCAAAAAAAGTTGGCAGTGTTGCCTGGAGGTCCTCAGGAACCCTATTTTAAAGAATAAACTAATTTTTTGTGAAGAGAGGCAATTCCTGAAGAGTGGAGTTTATTCCTTCTTCTTGGACTCATGAAATCGTGAAAACAGTTAGATGAACAGCATCAAGTGAACTTTTCTTATTCTTCTGAATTAAAAAATATTCTAATTTAGTGAACTCTGAACAAGGCTTATTGTACTTACTTAACTAAAGACGCGTTTTGATTTGGTGTTTAGAGCAGTCTGACGATGATCATCCTGTAACTGTATGATCAAATTAAGAAAGCCTAAAGGAACCATGAATCTGGAATTTAGGGTTTTTTTTAGCTGCAACAAGTAACTGGGAGGGCCACGTGTTTTACGCTATGTGGTATGGAATATGATTTAGGAGCCCAGTGTGATTAAGAGAAGACCCCATTTCCTCTCTCTGTAGACGTGCTGGTTGGATCCCTGATTGGAATGGCGTGTGCCTATGTCTGCTACAGGCAGTACTACCCTCCTCTGACTGACACAGAATGCCACAGACCGCTTCAGGGCAAACTCGCACTTCCCACTGCTCAGAAGCAGGCTGGAGATTCTTGCTGTTTTGATATTTAACAATTGAATCTACCTCAGTGGAGAACAGGCGAATCAGCCCTCTTCACTGGAACATGCACAGGACAAGACGTTCTGGCCTTTTGACCCTGTCCGAGGGACAAGTGAGGACACAGCCACGCTGCACTCTGCCTCCACCAGTAGCAGGGTTCGCCCTGCTCCCACAGATCTACCTGAAGAGTCAAGTTCTTTCCTCTGCCGTGCGCCACACCTTCTGGTAAAGGGATTTCCGGTCAGCCGCTGACAGCTTAGGAATCTGGCCCACAAGAGCGGTATCCCAAGATCTACAGCATTTTTACACTTAATTGAAATGCCATTCTTGGAAGGCTCTTGTCACAAAGACGCCTTTACATAACTCCATTGTATCCTACAAGCTAGAGTTAGTTATCAAAACTTAATTTCCATTTCCCATAGCTCAAAATCTTAAAATCTTATAGGGTGTGACCAACCAAGTTACTTTTCATTTGGTTTACTTTGGTGACAATTCCATCAAGCCTTAAATAGGAAAATGTCCAATTTGAGGTAATTTATCACTGTTATAGTATCTATCTTATCTGAGTCCAGCCATCTGGTACTGCTGTCCCTCTTGGACATAAACAATAAAGAAGAAAATGGTCATCCCCACAGATGATTGTTTCTACCTCACGTGTCTTAACTGGGCTCCGAGCTTCTTTTCTTCCATTCCTGACTGAAGATCTACCCAAACGTATCAGCTCTGCCACCTGACAGGCAGGAAAGAAAAATCACAGATACCACTATCTGAAGGACAAATGAATCTTTTTTTGTCCCTTCTTCACAGCGGGATATAAGGAACAATTATAGGATGTCATCAGAACAGATGCTATAGGACCTACAGCTAGCTACCTTTCTCTCTACGGTGATTATACTTTAAATGTGACCTTGTCTTATGTATATCTTCCTATGACATATTTTCAGTGCATCTTTTTCCTTCAGTAAACCTGATATTCAAATACAATGATGAATGTGTGCTTTTTTTGTATTTAAAGTACCATTCAGAGGCAGGAACATAAAGTAAAACATTGGATTCCCCATCTGACATAAGTGCTATTATCTGTAGTAGTGGCTAATATTTATAAATACTGAAGGATAGTCTTAGTATTTACCTTATGATTGCCAGGCTTTAAATTATGAACTACATCTGCCTGTGATAATGAAAACACCAGTTAAGGGAAAAGAACTTAAATATTTGTTCTTTGCCCAAAACTTTTATTTTATTTATTTATTTATATTTTGAGACGGGGTCTCACTCTGTTGCCCAGGCTGGAGTACAGTGGCATCATCGTGGCTCACAACAACCTCAAACTCCTGGGCTCAAGAGATCTCCCTGCCTTAGCCTCCCAAATAACTGGGACTACAGGTGCACACCACTATGTCCAGCTAATTTTTCTATTTTTAGTAGAGACGGGTCTTGCTTAGGGTGGATCTTTTATTTTTTAAACTTATTTTAGTAATACATAGGGGAAGGGAAAATGGTTACTGTATTGATTTTTTTTTTTTCTACTTTATGATGAGGCTAGGTAAAAGTAGGCAACTGGTCAATGCAGTTTTATTTCAGTATTTACTAAAGTTTAAATATAATCACGTAAAAAACAAACATTTCAAAAGTGCAAAATATTAGAAAGTTAATCAGTGCTACTAATCTTTCCATGCAAACAATCTCTTTTGCTGAGATAAATAGTATTAATTCTGCAGCTAGGAACATGTACCAAATGATGCTGAACCAGAGTTTAAAAACGGGCTTGCTCTAGATATTGCACATGACACAAATGAAGCAGCGCAAATAATCTATGACTAAAGAATTTCAGTCACGCTTATTACCCTGTGTAATACACAGCCATAATAAAAGCACAGGTGGATGAGATGTAAAGCTCTTTTACAGTTATCCCCCTGTCACCACCAGGAAAGAAACATTGCTTAGTATAAAGAGAGGTTTATCTAGCCATCCAGGGTTATGCTGTCTGTCTTTGCTTGTCCTTTGGTTCACTCTTAAATAGTACCCATTGTGCTAATATGTGCTAATATGAAGAGTAAACGTAAATTTGAAGACAGCAACTTGACAAAAGCTTCCCCTTTAATATACGGCAAATGCTTCTTAATTTTCAATAACCCTTATTCAGAGTATATATAATAAAGAAAACAAAGTATTCCATATATATGAAATGTGTTAGTGGCGTACTGATTCAGCTTTAGCCCATAAGCAGATGACCAGAAAAGGCCAGGCTTGACCTACACCCCAACTTCACCTCTATGACCTCCAGGGCAATAATAATTACCCTTCTTTCTCCAAAGGGATAAAGACACTGCTGTCTAAGGGACAGCTTCAATGACTATTAAATGCCAATACTTTGGATACCATGATGCCTTTACAAAAATTTATAAAAAAAAAACAAAACACAGCTTGCCTGCCAGTGCCACCCTATAAACTAGTCTGTGGAATCGGAGCGGGAGTGCGCAGGACTATCACGAAGAGGACTACAGTGACAAACTCTGACCCACAAGGAAGAAAATACCTACAGCAAAGTGGTGAGACGATGCCTTGGGAAAAAAACTGGTCTGCAGTCACATGCGTTCTTTGAAGTCAATCTGTTTGCATGGTCCAGACTTAGCTGACACGGACTCTGCAAGAACCGTTCCTTGGACCTAGGTTGTTTTTTTTTTTTTTCCCCAGAATTAAACACTTTCCCCTCAACAAACCTACCTTCTCAACCAACAGTGCCTGTGCCAAGAGCCTTTTAAGCATTCTGGATTCTGGATACCTAAGGTGGCAATGATGTTTACAAAATGTTTTTAGAGAGAATACACAATACCACCCTCACAGTGGAAGTGGCAGGTGACTTAAATTCTGATTCACCATAAAGGTACCACTAAAAGATTTTATTTATAACCTAAACAGCCTGATAAGGCTGCGTAATTTCAGGTTTGTCAGCTTTTACAGCTTCTATTCTTATGTTGGGGATAAAGTTATTACCAAATAACTAAGTCAGGCCTCACCTAGAGTCTCTCAATTTGGAGTGTAACATAAAAGGGCAGGCCTAGGATATATAACATCTTTGCTTTATAAAGATGCACCTAACATGAACTGTCCACTTTAGACTTTTACAGCAACTCAAAAAATTATAAAAACAGTGAATAATATCAGTGATTCCTAGCAATTAAGTCTGTCAGTTGTAAAAGAGTAAACAATACTCTTTTTAAGCTACATTCTAACCTTTCTTCATACAGTACACATAGGAAAGAAACGCTGGTTCAAGGAAAAAAAATGCCCAATTTTTTGAAAAACTGCCTTTTCCGTAACTACTCGAACTTAGCCTTTAGGTGCAGGGAACACAAATGAAAGGTGAGTATACCGCAAAATGCCCTCTACATCCCAAGAATCTGCTTCCAAACTAGAACATTTTCTAAAGATAAGCAATAATTTCCTAGAAAAAAAGTCGACCCAGCCCCAAACGAATCAAACTCAAAACATACTTTACACCATCCCAAGTCCTAAGCAAGCAAGTGTGGCACCTGTCAACCAACGTCGGAGAATTAAAGTTGCAAACCACCTGCAGCTACGAAGAAAGGATGGCAAGTGTTTACATGAAAGCCCGTGGTAAAAAGTAATAGGGTCTTCCCTTTGCTTTTCCATTCACTTCCAAAAAGGAAGATTATCTTCCAAAGACCCCACTGGTGAGTAAGTGGCAGGCAACATGCAGGAAAAGACGCAGCTGAGGAGAGGAAAACTGCAGCAACAAACAGGTGGCTTTTCTGGGGGAGGATCCCTCAGTGTCCGTCTGGGGGAGAGAGTGGGAGAAGAGGTCATAGTGCAGTCACAACAGGAGGCAACCATGGAGAATGCCAGAGTCGAATACACACACTTTCTAGGTTCACATCTAAAAGGCTGAGTAATTTAAATCTCTGGATGGGTTGTTTGTAATTAAAATCATAACTGTTGCCATGGTAACACTGAGATTAAGAACTATTAAGATTCTGAGTTTAGATACTAAAAATGATAGGTGTCATTGGACAAAATCCCTAGCAAAAGAGACCTACACTTATCTTCCTCTAAGTGGGCTATTGTGCTTTTTCCCCCATGAATTTCAACCAGAGTCCATCTAAAAATGAATAACAGCCTACATCTTGGTGATAGGCAACAGAAAGGTATATTTATAGAGAGCTTGAGGCTCCACAGTTCCTTATAACATGTTAATTAGTAAGAACTATGCTGCATACATGACATTTAAAAACTTACATTAAGCAGCCACAGATGTGTCATTTTTACTGTAAAGGCTGATCGAGGAAGACTCCCTGGGTTTGGTAGATCTCTTTGAGGACCAGCAGTACTGTATCTTCAGATTCCCTGTAAAGAGAAAAAATTATGTTGAGAAAAGAAAGACCTAACGTTTGTGCTAGATGCTTTACATGTATCATCTCATGTAATCCATACAACCACCTTGCAAGTTTATTTTTATTATTGCAAAAAAATGAGAACTGGAGGTAACGTAACTGGCAGTGGTTTGGAAGGTGACCTGGCAAAGAACTCTAGCAGTAGGTCTGGTAATATAAAAAAGCTAGTAATAAATGACCAGGAACTGTTCCCTTTCAACAGAGCTCATTCTTGAGACAATATTGAAGGGACATCCAGTTGGTCACCTTAATTTTTAAAATGCTATGCACTTTTTTGAAAAGGCAATACAATCATGTGGCTCAAAATGCAAAAGGTATAAAAGGGTTAGATGATGAAGTCTCCCTCCCTCCTCAACCATCACCAGTTCCCACCTTCTGACAACCAGTGTTACCAATTTATCATGCATCTTCCAGATACTGTTCTGTGCATGTACAAGCAATTACTTAGATCCACAGTTCATAACGTTGGATTAAAAAGACAACATTCATGAAGGATTGCCTTAAGGATGTAACATTCCTCTAGATCTGTGGTTCAATATTTTTTGAGTCCATGCATCCCTTTGAGAATCTAATGAAATCTATGGATTTCTCCCCAGGAAAGATCACATATACAACCAAAATTATAAATAGAATTTCATTGGATTCATAGACTTCCCCTATCTCCCATAAACTCCATACACAGACCCCAGCTTAAACTCTTATTTCGAGGAGAGGGAATTAGCTCTACCAGATATTAAAATGGTATACAAATAAACAGATCAGGGCTGGGAGTGATGGCTCATGCCTGTAATCCCAGCATTTTGGGAGGGTGAAGCAGGATTGCTTGAGGCCAGGAGTTTGAGACCAGCCTCGGCAACACAGCAAGACCTCATCTCTAAAAAAAGTAACAAAAAATTAGTTGGGCATGGTGGCATGTGCCTGTAGTCCTAGCTACTTGGGACAATGAGGAGGGAGAACCACTTGAACCCAGGAGTTCAAGGTTACAGTGAGCTATGATCATGCCACTGTACTCCAGCCTAGGCAACAAAACAAGACTCTGTCTCTTAAAAAAAAACAAAAAATTTTAAATCGATAAAGAGTAGGAAGTTCAAAAATACTGCCAATTATGGATAAGAATTTAATAAAGTTAGAATCTAAAGTCTATTAATAATGTTGAGACAACAGTATTGAGACATCTGGGAAAAAAGTGACCTGAATCTAGCCATAGCTTGTATTAGGATAAATTTGAAGCAAAGCAAAGATTTACATGTAAAAATGAAACTATAAAGTATTAGAATAACTGGGAGCAATGGCATGTGCTTGTTGTCCCAGCTACTAGGGAGGCTGAGGTGGGAGGATTGCTCGAGCCCAGGAGTTGAAGGTTGTAGTGCATTATGATCAAACCTGTGACTAGCCACTGCACTCCAGCCTGGACAACATAGTGAAACCCCATCTCCAAATCTTTTTTACATTTTTTTTTATATATACATACATATGTGTATGTGTGTGTGTGTGTGTGTGTGTGTGTGTGTGTGTGTGTGTGTATATGTAAAAGAATAAACTGTGGTAAGAATTTTTTTGGAAAGTAAGGAAAATCTAAGTATGACACAAATTCCAGAAACTAAAAGGGCCAACAAATTTGACTACATAAAAATCAAAATTTTCTACTTAGCAAAAATCAACATAAGCAATGTCAAAAGACAAACTAAGGAAAAGATATTTGCAACTCGTATTGCAGACTATCAATACAAAAAAGGCCAACATTTCAATATAAAAGAGTAAAGAGTATAGATACTTCCCAGAAAAGAAAATAAAAATGGCCCTTAAATATATATGTCAAGATGGTCAATCTTATTCATAATAGGAGGAATGCAATTTAAAACTATAGTGTACAGCCGGGCGCGGTGGCTCATGCCTATAATCCTAGCACTCTGGGAGGCCGAGGCGGGTGGATCGCTCAAGGTCAGGAGTTCGAGACCAGCCTGAGCAAGAGCAAGACCCCGTCTCTACTAAAAATAGAAAGAAATTATCTGGACAACTAAAAATATATATATAGAAAAAATTAGCCAGGCATGGTGGCACATGCCTGTAGTCCCAGCTACTCGGGAGGCTGAGGCAGTAGGATCACCTGAGCCCAGGAGTTTGAGGTTGCTGTGAGCTAGGCTGAAGCCACAGCACTCTAGCCAGGGCAACAGAGTGAGACTCTGTCTCAAAAAAAAAAACAAAACTATAGTGTATGATGAAAACTACAAAACATTGCTGAGAGAAAGACAACCTAAATAAACTGAGAGATACCATGTTCATGGATCAAAAGAAACAATATTACTGAAATGTCAATTCCCTGTAGATAAAATGCAATCTAAATTGATCTATGGATAAAAAGCAATCACAAAGTCCCAGAGAACTTCTTTGTAGAAATTAACAAGCTGACTGTAAAATATATGTGGAAGTGCAACGGAACTACAAGAGCCAAAATAACCGAGTAAGAAAAACAAAGTTGGAAGACTCATGCTACCTTGATTGAAAGGCGTATAAAGCTACTGTGATTAGGACAGTGTTTTACTGGCATCAAGACAGACAAGTACATCAATGGAATAGAGTCCAGAAACAGATACATATATATATGGTCAACTGATTTTCAACATGGTGCCAAGGCAGTTCAATGGTTACTCCTTCTGGATAACTTTTCAACACATGGTGCTAGAACAACTGGATAACCACATGCAAAACAATGAACCTCAATCCTTCCCTCATGCCACATTCAAAAATTAACTCAATTAAAATGGATCATAGACCTTAAATGTAAGAACATAATATGATTTATAGAACACAGGAGAAATCTTAATGACTTTGGATTCGGCAGAGATTTTAAAAATCTGTCCAAAAAGCACAAATATCAATAAATCAGACTTAATCAAAATCAAAAACTGCTGCTCTTCAATGAAAACACACTGATAGAAAAAATGAAAAATAAGGCACCTCCTGAAAAAAACAAACTATCTGAAAAGGACTTGTAACACTAGAATACAGAAAGAACTCTTGCAACTTAGTAAGACAGTCAAATTTTTAAAAATGGGCAAAAGATCCGAACAGACACTTCACCAAATATCGATGGCAAATAAACATATTAAAATATGCTCAGTATCATCAGTCATTAGGGAGATATATATGAAAACCACAGCGAAGGGCCATCATAATCCATTCAGAATAGCTATCAAGAGTCACTGAGAGTAGGGAGCACCTGGAACTCTCAAACACTGCTGAGGGAATGGAACCTGCTGGTGGCAAAACAGTTGGGCGGTTTCTTTTAAAGATATACTTCCATTCTCAGGCAAGAAGTAATTCGGCAAAAAAAAAAAAAAAAAAAAAATCAAAAAAAAAAAATAAAATGAAAAATAAATTTAAAGATACACTTCCATGACATTCAGTATTTACCCAAGAGAAATTAAACAATATGTCCATACAAAATCTTGTACATGAAAGTTCCTAGTAGCTTTGATTGTTAATAGCCAAAAAATGGAAACAACCCAAATATTCACCAACAAGTGAATGGATAAATTGTGATATATCCATATAATGGACTACTACTCAGCAATAAAAAGAAATAAGCTAAGATTATACACAACATGGATGGATCTCAAAATAATTATGCTGAGTAAAAGCTGCCAGGAAAAAAAAGAGTATATATTGTATGATTTCAAATAAAAGTCACTGCAGACTAATCTACAATGACACAACAGATCAGTGTTTCCCTGGAGACTGGGAGGAGGGGAGAGGAGAAAAAGGGAAGAATTACAAAGGGCACAAGGACACTTCTGAGCATGATGAGTATGTTCATTAATTTGACTGTGGTGATGATTTCACAGATTTATATATGTCAGAACTCATATTTGTGTACTTTAAATATGTGCAGTATATTGTACATTTTTCACCCAACAAATTGGCAAAGATTTAAAGTTGATAAAACTGTTGGAAAAGCTGTAGGGAAACAGACACTCTCATACATTCCTGGAAGCAGTGTCAAGAGGAACCACCTCTATTTGGGAGTATTTATCAAATATTACAAATGCATATACTCTGTATGCCAGCAATTCCAATTCTAAGTATTTTACCTTACAGAAATACTCATGAGTAGATGAAATTACAAGATGTGTAAAGAGCAAAAATATAGAAACCTAAAGACCCATCAGTGGAGGATCGGTTAAACAAATTATGGTATAGTCATATAGTGACATACTATGCAGCTAAAAGAATGAGGAAACTCTACATACAATAAGTAAAAAACTCCAAGATATACTAGTAAGAAAAAACAAGGCACAGAAAAAAATCATATGATACTATTTATATTTTTAAAAGGAAGGAAATAATATATTCATACACATGTATTATATAGCATAAAATAGATTGCTGGAAGAAGTTTTAAGAAATACATGTTAGCTGCATGTGGGGAGGAAACTAGTTAGCAAGGAAAGAAATGGAAAACAGGTAGACATAATGAAAAGCCTCCGAGCTTCAAACCATATAATGTGCTGCTATTCAGAAATTCTAAAAGAACCCCCTTTTCATATATTCTATCAAGCCAGATCAGCAGAGAACCTTCTGAGAATATTGTTTTAGCCCCTTACATTGCTTTTGCTGAACTGCACTTTGATTTTATGTCATGGCCTCTATTGTAAAGAGAGATATTGATTATTATAAAGAGATGATATTGATTATATCAGGTAATGTTTCCTTTATCAGAATCCAATAGAAAAATTCCTCTCAGGACCTTAGCCTGCATTTTTGAAACACTTATCTCTGACCCATCTTATTTTCCTAGCTTTATTTTTCTTTACTTCAGGTCCTTCAGTGATGAAGTTGTATTCTGTTATACTATATGAATTTCAATGAGTGCCATTAATTCATTCTACAATCCATCAGGTAATTATATTTAACAATTAATTCTGATTCTACTTTAAATGCTTTCAAATGGGTTCCTTAAAATACTTCCAGCAACAGTAATGTATGTTCCAGTCTATTCATATGCACCCAAATGGCCAAGACACACTTTTAAGACCAAGCTAAGAGAATTAATGGTTGTTGGCATCATTAGCCCCATGCTCTACCCAAATGCAAAATAAATGTATTTTAATCAGATTTCTTTAAATGACACAATTGTGCTATTTTGTAACTGTCTAAATGAGAAATCATTCTAATCCCACATGTACAATGGCCTATCCTTTTTCTACATCTACCAAGTATCTGTGAAACAAACAAAAAACAGAAAAAAAGACAGACACCTACCAGTAGCACAGATGGCTTTGTAAAGCAAATAAGTATTCATTAAAACTTTCAATGGGCTTCTCCTGTAGCACATAGTCAATGCGCTGGCCTCCGTTCAGCATTCCCACGTTGATGGGCAAGACTTCTTCTTTGACTGACACAGAGGGCTCTTCTGTGTTAACATCTGGATATGGAAGGATCATAATAAGAAAATGAAAGCTCTGAGCCCTCCAGGGTTGTCCTATTACTTCCCTCCGGACTCCAAGTTTACCGTAGGTTGAGCTACTCTCTGTTGAGAGAGCTCTGTCCCATCTTTCTCCTCTCAATCTCCTTAAAGCTGCTCCTCAGGTCACTAATTTTGTCCAACCCCCTTTTTTCTTTTGCTCAACATATCACATTACCTGTACCTTTGATAGCTAAGTCATTTGCCTTGGGTTTATAAACTGTCAGCAGGAACAGAGCTCTTTGGGAAGTTGAAAACTAAAGTAAAAGAATGCAGTATTAACTGTGAAATTAAGTGGAGAGTATCCTAGCTAGTCCCCATCCAGGAGAATAAAACTGAGCCACAAACACATAGTGAAATTCCCCCTGTACAGCAAGGAACTTCACAGAGCAGGCTCTTAACATTACCCCAGTTCCCAAGTAGGGAATGTTTTAAAGCCTAGTTACCAGATGCTCGGCTTCGCTTGACATTTGTCCTCAAAAATAATGTTTTTCCATGATTTGTGGCTATTAAGATGACAGGAAAGGTTAGCAGAGCCAAAAGCCCACTGTGACCCATAGTATAGCTCCTATACAATAAAAGGAGGAAGGTAAGAAGGCCTTGGAGGACAAGAAGTCCATACTATGCAGCCCCTCTTATCTGGCCTGATGTCAGGAATCAGTGTGTACAGTGTCACTGACCAATAGGCTTCTCTGCACTTGACTCGGGTTCTGCTTCACTTTCTTCTGCAGTTTCTGAAGCCTGTAAGGCAGGGTACGAAGCTCTGGTGAAAGACTTCCAGGCCAGCCGCAGTGAACCTAGCAAGTTGTTCTTAAGGTCCATACTCATCCTGGTCAAGCCTTCTCTCAGTTCTGAAACACAGAAAACCATTAAATGATTTACGAAGAGTTTAGGGTCCATTCAGTCTGCACTGCCCAAAGGTCTAGAATTATCAAGTTCTATACTTAGCCTTACCTAAATGCATCCGCTTCCTGCCTTTATGATGTGGGATCAGCATTGGCTCAAATTCCACTTCCGGGACCACCATTGGTTCAATCCTATAAGCCACAGGATCAAACTACATAGGAAAAATAATACCGACATTTACCTCTGCTGAAGAAAGGTAGTCTGAGAAACTGTGTATCTTAAGCAAGAATAATTTTAAGTTCATTAAAAACTGTACACTTGTTGGCTCCGTCACTTCCAGATCAATACTATTATAAGTTGTCTCATTACTAGAGAATGGTATAGAAAAAAACCAAATCAACAGAAAATCATATGGTCTTTACCAGTAAGCCCTAATATTCACATAAAATACAATAGCTATACAATGCTTACAGGATGATAAATATTGAAGAAGCCTTTGCACGTTGGAAATTTGTAGTTGGGGTCAATTCTTTTTAGTCCTCGGACAGTAAGGAACATTCCAATTGGAGATCCAAAGGCAAAGAATATTTCTGGTTTATAAATGAGCCTGGGGTATTTTACAGACACCTGGAAGGACAAAATAAAAGCATCTCTCATTAATAACAAAAGTTACATCTATTCCTACAATACTAGTAAGAGGCAGTAAAATGACCACAGAGAATTAGTATTGTTACCTGCCCAATGCCAACATCCAAATAGTCCCCATTTCTAGTATCATCAGTACTACTGCCGAGCTTAGATTCTTTGGGGATGTTTGCCCCTGAAACTGACTGCAGCGTTGGTCTATTAATACCCTAAAGAATAAAAAACAACCAAAAAAAAAAAACCAGTTATGTGGAGTAGCTGGGTGTGGTGGTGCACCCTGATAGTCCCAGCCACTCAGGAGGCTCAGGGGGGAGGATCGCTTGAGCCCAGAAGTATGAGTCTAGCCTGAGCAACATAGCGAGACCCCATTTCTATTTTTTAAAAAGTTATATGGAACTATTATATAGTAAAAGTAGTCTAAGGATTATATAGTTTTCTACTAGTTTCAAAGGATGATTGGGAAAGTTCTGAAATAGTAGCCAATAATTCTAGGAAGAATTCCTCAGAAAACAAGATAAAGCTGATGAAAACAACAGTTGCCTTAAATTATGAACTGACATCCCTACACACTCTAAAATGAGGAGAGTTGTACATGGCCAATTTGGGCAGCAGTTGAAACTTTAGGGCAACCATCAGGAAAGAAAACAATAGCAGAGCACTGTGGGAAGAAATGTTGAGGATTGATAAGGAGCTCTATGAAGTGCTGTGCCATTGTAATCAAGGCATGTAGGATGTCCCTGTGGGTACAGAATATAAAACACACACTGGGCCAAGGACTGAATCTTAAAAAAGAACTGAGCCACCTGCTAAAAAGTTGGAAAAGAATTAACTACTAAGATATGGAAAGGAATTGAGTGACCAGGAAAACTGAATATAGAAGTACTGTTACAACACAGATAAACTTTGAGAACATTATGCTAAGGGAAAGAAGCTAGTCACAAAAGGCCATGTGTTATATGATTCTATTTATATGAAATGTCCAAAATAAGCAAATCCATAGAGACAGAAAGTAGATTAGTGTCTGCAGAGGCTGGGGGCAAGGAGGAATGGGGAGTGGCTGCAAATGGGTCTGGGTTTTTTTCTGGGGTTGATAAAAATGTTCTGGAATTAGATAGTGGTAATGGTTACACAACTGTGAATATACTAAAAACTATTAAATTGTATATTTTAGGCTGGGCATGGTGGCTCATGCCTGTAATCCTAGCACTTTGGAAGGCCAAGGCGGGAGGATCGCTTGAGCTCAGGAGTTTGAGACCAGCCTGAGCAAGAGCAAGACCCCGTCTCTACTATAAACAGAAAGAAATTAGCCAAACAACTAAAAATAGAAAAAATTAGCCGGGCAGAGTGGTGTGTGCCTGTAGTCCCAGCTACCCGGGAGGCTGAGGCAGGAGGATTGCTTGAGCCCAGGAGTTTGAGGTTGCTGTGAGCTAGTCTGACGCCGCTGCACTCTAGCCCGGGCAAGAGAGTGAGACTCTGTCTCAAAAAAAGAAAAAAAAGGGTGAATTTTATGGTATATGACTGCATTACATTTCAATAAAGTTGTTACGAAAAGAAAAAAAATGGAATGGTAGGAGTCCAGGGGAGATACAACTTCTGAAGCTAATAGTATTTTTCAGGATATAGATAAGAGAAAATTAATTTCTAAAAGGAGAACCAAATATCAATTACCAAAACTTCTTAGCTCCCCAAAGTAAACATCCCACAAAGCTCAGGGATACACCACGGATGTCAAAGAATTTCTTAGTCCAAAAGCTATCTTAGGCACATTACCATTGAATTTTTTCTGGTCCTGAAATAGTTTAATATCTTCCTTCTTGGTCCTAAAGGAATTCCCATTTCCTGAAGATCTCTGTCTGTACATAAAGCCTAAACATAGAAAATAAAATCTTTCTTATTTCTAGGCAAAATAAAATCAATTAAACATCCTGTCCCCTAATGTAAGACCTAGGCACTTGGTGGTTCTTCGTTTTGTATTGCTCCGGCTCCCTAGTGGAAGCTTAATAACTTCAAAAAGAAAAGTGTATTTTATTCATAAAACAGCCTAAAAAGAATAAAAGTATCAATGTTACAGTAATATAGATAACAACTGTTATTGTTAAAAAAGAAAAACCTAGAGAAGCTGGATATCTAATGACTTCATGACAGAAAAACCCTCCTTGATTTCCATGCTGACTTCAATGTCTCTGATTATACTCCCACTTGTGGACACAGCAGTAAGAACATACAGCAAACACAGAAGTATGGAATAGATTAACAAGATCTCAACTTAAGTAACACTCATCTTGTTAGGGAAGTCTTCCTTCACCCTCTCAGACTGGGTTAATTCATCCCATTATACATTCTTATACCACTGTGTGCCTTTTCTACTTAGTTCTTTTCATAATTGTAATTAATGGTGTGTCATTATTTAATTTGTATCTTCCCCACTAAATTATAAACACTATGAGGTCAGGGACCGTATTTGTCTTATTTACCACTTTAGCAATAGTATGATCATAGTAAAGCATTTACTAAACATCTGTTAAATATTTAGTATGAATGATTTAGAATGAATGTATCACGAACCAGAAAAAAAGCCCAACAAAAGTGGGAAAAAACAAATCACAGCAACAGAACTCTTGAAAGTGTAACAGAAAATAAGAGTTGGAACAGTTAGTGGTTATTCAGGGGTTTGTTCTCACACTCGTGCTTTCTCTGAGCTGTGCTGTTTTCCCTTTGCTCTACTGCTCTATGGATATCAGTGTGGCTCATCCGAACTTTGAACTCCCACAAAGGAAAGGTCACTTTATATGATAAAAAGCAAATAAATAAGGCTAAATAATGCTAAAAAAAATTATTAATGATAATGTTACCAAGGGCAGGTAACACGAAGTAAACACGAAGCAATAAACATAGTGCAAATAAGTCTGGCATAAACTTTTAAAAAATTATTCTTACCAGGGCTTCCTTATCAACTTTCTCCTTCTGAAAGATACTAAAGAATTCAGAGAGTTGAAGTTTCTTCAAATCTTCCTCTAGTGTCAGTGTATCTCCTTGATCCATAACAATATTTAGCAAATCCTAAAAATTAAATTATAAAGCTCATATTCTCAAAATTCACTTAGTTTCCTTTATTAATATTACTTTACAATTAAGAAATGTATTATATAAGATTTCCAGTGCTATATCTTAACTTTAAATAAATTGTAATTTATACAAAATATAAACTAAGAGGTGATTGAGCTCCAAGATTTTTGTTACTTCAGTTGAAAATATATTTTTAAATGGATGAATGAATAATTATCAAAGTATTATTCATCATCATTAACAAACATTTACAGAGCTTTAGGGAAGCTCAGTGCTTAAGGAATTAGGGAAACAGTGCATAAGAAATAAAACAGTCTAAGACAAGACTCTGCCCTGGAAGGACTCATGGTCCAATAGGAGAAATAGGACATTTACATAAAAAGAGAAAAAAATACAAGATAGTACATGTATAAAATATGCTAAGTACCACATCGATACTATAGATGATATATGTTCATAGGACTTTGTTTTACTAAAATATATGTTTAAACACCAACTCCCCCAGTGCTTTCAAACAGAACTTCTATAAATCATATCAATTTGCATCTAATTCATTCATTTCCCCATATGCAAACTGTTTAGCTCAATGATACTATAATTCTATTAATAGATAAGTAGTGCATATTTATAAAGGAAAATAAGACACCTATGGTTATTTCAGAATGTGGCAATTATTTGTAGAAGCATATTACTATCTTGCTTCTAGCATCCAAGAATGACAGAGATAATTATAAGTCTGTCAAAATAAAAATAAACGTAAATTTAACATCATGGCATGAGACTAAACTCAGCTAAAAACAAAAAATAAATCTAAAATCTAAAAATCCTTACTAAGGAATACTACAAGAGAACCTATCTGAGCATCTAAATTACCTTTTCACTGTCAATATCCCCCAAAGAATCTTTCTGATTTGTTAGGATATCAAACAATATAAGCGAACCTATAAGTAAAATAGAAGAAAGAAGGGACAATTTCTAAGCATTAGCACTACACATGTAAGCAAATCTACACAGCAGGGAGTCTTTCCTTCCAATTTACCACCACCCGTCCAACCCCTTCCAAATTCTTCATCACAGACCACTTCTAGACCTCTGAATTTGATACTGATAAAAGACACTGTGCTTTCAAAATACAGGTATCCTTAAAATTTAACAGTCCTCTCTGGTCACAGAGAATTCATTTGTTACCTAAACTATGACCAGCAATGGATACACCCCCTTTGAAATCAGGGTTCCTCTGCAGAAAAAGTGTGTATATTCGGTTCATTTCAGAAACAACTGTGTCCACGATAGTCTGACAGTAGGTGGGGCTATTGTAGAAGAAGACGTCCAGAATCGTGTCATTGGTGAAGTGCCTGAGGCGGTTAATGCTGGGCAGAGTTATTCGCTGCAGATCTCTGAAAAAAGGAAAGATATTTTAAGCAGGAAACCTAAATAAATTTCACAGCCCTCTCTAAGTTATTATCTAGCTTAGCCTTCAACCTTACATTTAAACATTTAATGATACAAGCCACAACTATCAATTTATAGGAAAAACACAGGACAAAGGAACATGTTTAGTGAAGCTGAAGGAATGTGACCAACAAAATTCAGAGTGTAAGAAATGCTACAAGACAAACAATGCAGTTTCTTCAATATATAAATTGCCAAAATTGTAGATGTAGATAGAGAGGTAATCAAGAGATTAAGACAGATTTAAAAACCCTATCAACTAACTGCAATGCACAAACTTTATTTGGATCCCAGTTTAAAATATGTGTGTATACATTTGTATATGTGTATGTATATATATGACTATACATATATATAAAATCATGAGCATATACAGTTGGAAATTTGAACACTGGATATTTGATAATATTAAGAATTTTGCTGGGTGTGGTGGCTCACGCTTGTAATATCAGCACTTTGGGATTACTTGAGGCCAGCAGTTGGAGACTAGCCTGGGCGACACAGCGAGACCTGTCTCTACAAAAAAACTTAGCAAGGCATTGTGGCAAGCACCCTAATCCCACTACTTGGGAGGCTGAGGCAGGAAAATCCCTGGAGCCCAGGAGATCAAGGCTGCAGTGAGCTATGATGATGCCACTGCACTCCACCTGGGTGGCAGAGACCCTGCCTCAAAAAAAAAAAAAAAAAAGGCTGGGCGCCGTGGCTCACACCTGTAATCCTAGCACTCTGGGAGGCCACAGCAGGAGGATTGCTCGAGGTCAGGAGTTCGAGACCAGCCTGAGCAAGAGTGAGACTCCGTCTCTACTAAAAAATAGAAAGAAATTATCTGGACAACTAAAAATATATAGAAAAAATTATCCAGGCATGGTGGTGCATGCCTGTAGTCCCAGCTACTGGGGAGGCTGAGGCAGAAGGATCACTTGAGCCCAGGAGTTTGAGGTTGCTGTGAGCTAGGCTGACGTCATGGCACTCTAACCTGGGCAACAAGAGCAAGACTCTGTCTCCAAAAAAAAAAAAAAGAATTGTTTTAGGTGTGATGATGATGTTACGGTTATATATTTTTAAAGTCCTTTATATTATGCGAACTGAAACGTTTACAAATGAAATGATATTATGTCTAAGATTTGATTCAAAAATATGGTAGATGGAGGGGCAGCAAATAGGGGTATGGAGATACAGATGGGATAGAACCATCCATGTGCTGAGGCTTATTGGGGCTAGGTAATCAGTACATGAAGATACCCTACTTTTGTGTACAAAGTTCTCAATAATACAAGGTTTTTTAAAAAAAAGATACAAGAGGCTTCTCCTAGAATTTTCAGCATTATGATTTTTTGATCACAAGTCACATGATAAAGGGATCAGTTCCCTCTCTCAGTGCAGAATTTATAAAAAAGCAGAAAACGGGCCAGGCGCGGTGGCTCACGCCTGTAATCCTAGCACTCTGGGAGGCCGAGGCGGGCGGATTGTTTGAGCTCAGGAGTTCGAGACCAGCCTGAGAAAGAGCGAGATCCCGTCTCTACTAAAAATAGAAAGAAATTAATCGGACAACTAAAAATATATAGAAAAAATAAGCCAGGCGCTACTCGGGAGGCTGAGGCAGGAGGATCACTTGAGCCCAGGAGTTTGAGGTTGCTGTGAGCTAGGCTGATGCCATGGCACTCTAGCCCGGGCAAAAAAAAAAAAAAAGCAGAAAACGGTGAAAATGCCAGATGCCAAAGGCAAACAGAACTGATATCTGGCAAAGGAAGACAATGCTGACATCGTCTAAATCAATTTTCACTTAAAGCTTCCTCAAAATTACCAGAAAGAGTCCTCAATATTCAACGGTTTCTGCAGTTTAGAGAGGGCTACGTGCCCTTAGTAACTTCTTAGCATCAGCTCAAATATTAAAGAATGAGGGCTCCATACTACTAACGGCAATACCACAGTAGAGTGTTTGGCATATAGAATATACTCAAATCATAGGGTATTAAGAATTGAGAGACACAGAATCAGAAACGCCATTTCCAAGACCAGCATGGAAAGAATGCTATTTCCTTCATCTTCTAGAGAAGATCTCCTAATTCTATTCTAGAACTATATTATAAACATACTTCTTTCTCGAAAGCCCGTAACAAGATATCCTCAATATAAGGAAACCTTCTCTGTCATCATCATAAAATTTACAAACAAAACTACTGGGCATGTACCTTAAGAAAGCCATCACTTAAAAATCATTGTACCAATTATACCTCAATTATTGACATTTATGTTTGGGGATGTCCTCTCTTTTTTTCCTAAATATGGACAAATATTTTTAAATCTGATCACAAAAGGAACAACAAAATACTTTGTACGTATTGGAGTGTGGTTGGTTTTTGACATCTTAAGACGGGAACGCTTATACATGACAGGAAGAAAGCAATGTTTGGCTTTAACGCTAAAGAAATAATGAAGCTGTAACGTTAATAGTAAATACTAGTGAGCCTGTAAAACATACTGAAGAAGATAAAGCATAACTCTTTTCTTAACCAGGCTAGTTAAACCAAAGACCTGATCGGCATTTAACAGCATGTCTGTAAGAAATTTTAAGTATATAACCAGCTATAGCAGAAATGTCCCCAAACATGTTGATGATTAGAAAACATATTAAAATCACAGTTAAGAACTCAAAGGTATCAAGTATTACTCACACATCAACACCAGTAGAATGCAAAGGACTGTGCCAGTTGACTGGAAGAAATTCTACCCTCCCAATCTGCTGATTTTCTTGGGCTTTCTTAAAATGTGTCTGTAGCAAGTTCAAGGAAACACTGCGAAAATCATTAACTAGAAAGGAAAATTAATTTATGCATCAACAGTGAAGCAACAAATCATGTAATTATACTCTAACTACATTTGCTTAGAACACATATTGACTTGAGTCAAAAACAGTAAAGTGGTATTCAGGAAAAACTATGAGTGCATACAGGAAAAGATATTCCTTTAATATAGAACTTGCTTTTACCATACAAATATTTCATCAAAAGAAAGGCTAACTTCAAAATGTGTGTCATGGGGAAACTTTCAATTAATAAAAAAACAAAATCTTATGACAATATTTCAGGTCATCTTGTAGCCAGGTTCCTATTCTAACTTTCTGGTTCTTATAAACAACCACCATCCAATACTTCAGATTAAGAAAAATACACTGCTGTTTGAAACTCACAGCACATGGATCTTAACCTTTCAGAATACAATCCTAATTTATGCCTAGAACCATTAGCCAGTAGAGTGAGACTCCCTAATTTGGACAATTAGACTTTGAATACTATCAAGTTTTAGAGGGCATTACCTTTCAAAATCTAGTTATTCTCATGACTTAAATCTTCCAATTTAGAATATCAAGAGATTTATCACAGTATGAATTACAAACGTGATTGACGCTTTTGTTATTCATTTAAACTCTACCATCTTTATCAAGGGCTTGTTCACTCAAGAATTATTAGTTAAGAGTATAAACTATTAGCCTCAGGAATTTACTAATACTTTAGGTCTAAGCTGGAAAGCTTTACTACTTTGCCACCTATCTTTAGCTCTCCAAATCTTATTATGCAGCTAAGACAACAGACCAAGACAATGCTTTATCTCAGCTCACAGGAGCACTGACTAATATTCTTCAGACATCTAATCTTGCAGGCTTTGCAAACCTACCACACTGTACAATGCTTCGAAAGCGGAGATCACAAGCTGGTCCAATCCCATGGACTACAAAAACCAAGTGATCTATTTGTAAAGGTTCTCCTATAAATGAAATTAAAAAGAAAAATTGTCCTATGTAATTAGTCATGTATTCTAAAATCAAACAAACATAATGAATAGGTTATAAATATGTGTAAGTTAAAATATGAATAATTTAAAAGGCATGAAATAGTCCTATATTTAAGTACTTAGTAAAAATATGTTAATTTTACTTTGTTTCTAATTTATATTGAAATAAGTCTGAAAAAATTTTTCAGGCTTTTAAAACTTTTTATTTTGAAATAACTGCCAATTTACAGAAAACTAGAAAGAACAAAAACAACCATGCACTTTTTACATAGATCCAACTTTTTAACAATCACATGTGCTTTATTATTGTGTGTGTGTGTGTGTGTGCGCGCGCATACATACACACATTTTTCTGAACCATCTGGGAGCAAGTTGCATATATCATTGGGTTGCCTACATCTTTAACCCTTTAACATTTTAATGTATATTTAATGTATTTTTCCTAAGAATATTCTTACATAACCATAGTACATTTGGTTCACGTAATTTAACATTAATAGAATACTTTTATCTAAAATTCCACTTTAATCAATTGTCCCAATAATGTCTGGTATGTTTTTAAAATCTGAAACTTTAAACTTGACTTTTTGAATTATAGTAAATCTAAGACTTTGTCCAAGACACAAGTCATCTCCTCTGCAAGACAAAAGGAATTTTATAATCGAGTTAATTATAAAACCAACCATAAGTGACCCTAGCTAGATAGCAATGGGTAATCACCAAGGTCCTACTGAAAAATAGTTTTCCTTAGATGAAAATCTTTAAGGACAGAAGTTAGTGAATAAATTTCTAGTCAAGCAGGTGGAATCACACTGCTTAGTATTAGGACTAAATCAGTTAATCTGTACTTAGTGACTTCCTACGCAGTACTGCCAAATTTTACCCATCTAACCATATGTACTTAGCAGCTTTAAAAGAGATTTTTACATCTATTAAGATTCTTAGTAGATAAAGTGATGAAGTGATCCTTAGTAGATTAACTCAGAATAAGACTATACAATTAAAGATTATTTTTAAGCCTTGATTCAAATCCATAGAAAAAGTCACAGTTAAAGGAATAAACAAATAAGTGTATCATAAGACAAAAAAAAATAATTAACATTACCACAATGAATGTCAACAGAGATGTTCTCAACCCCTCTCTTCACTGTTCTTGGTCGACCCTGCTCAGTAGGTGTTGACCCCCATTCATCAGACCCTGCAACTGGCTGGTAATGCACCATGAGCTTAAATAGAAAAGATCAGAGCAATAAAGATATTCTACGTAATAGTCATCTCTATATAGTAATACATTTTAGAGGGTAGGAACATGTCTTTCAAAACATATAATCAAACCTCAACTGGAGTTTTGATGTGAAACTCTTACAGCTTGAAATAAAAACCCTGAAAATACACTAGGCTAACATATCTTTCAACAATACCCTACACGGGGAATATATGCTCACGTAACATGTTGGTGATTTTCTTAACCTATAGTGGCATAATTTCCCCTAAGAAAATTCTTTTGCATAAACTAAGTGGAGTAAATAATGGTAATAGCTATAAGTTTTAAATTTCGTAATTATAAATTTATGTAAAATTTGCCAAAAGTTATTCTATATAGAGTCCATAGGAAGAAAAAGAAACCAACGAAGTT